TTCCACGGAAAATAAAACAAAGTGCACAATAACACTATGTGATAGAGCAAATTCTCAACTACAAAGCACTGTTTTTCAACACAGTCATTACCATTAGCTGAATTTTTGCCAGTGATGAACAAAAGCCTGCATGCTCATAAACATCTGCACCAGTGGAGGTGACCGACAGTGGCTGTCACAGAATCACAGAACTGCAGGGGTTGGAAGAGGTGTCAAGAGATCATTGAGACCAACTCTCCCACTCAAGCACTGTGCTCACATCCACTGGATGGTCTCCATAAACATTCAGCAACTGTCAATGAATGACAATAGGTGCCATTTTTTTCCACATGGAGGAATTCAATGACACACCTTTGCTTTACATGCATTTCCATGTCAGACACCATTTTGTGAGACTGCCCCTCTGCTGCCATCTGTCTCATGGCAACAAAACACAGTGGTTAGGAGGTTCAGCCTCTACTACCATATCATCAACATCCACCTCTGGCACTGTGCGCCAACATAAAGCTGTACTCATCTGCACTGAGTAAATTAAATATATCTATTTAGAACAGTAGAAATGAAGTAATCAAAACCAGTATAAGCAATGAAGTTTTTACAAATAACTGTACCACTCCTGTTTTAAATAGTTATTGAAATACTAAAAATGTCAGAGCTATCATCACTGAATAATACAGGCTGGATCGAATCTTTGGTGCTCTACAAACAACAAACTAGCACACAACCGACATGAAAATCAAAGGAAAACAAAATGTTTCATACAACCTCAGGGGAAATAAATTATTAGTATAGATAAAAAACTCTTTTCCAATACTACATAAAAAACTACAATTCTCATTGTATTACCATATTCTCATAAATATTTCTATAGATTTTCTTTGCAAGAGGCATTTCAAAATTCCGGTACTGAACTGCAGAGAATTTGCTTCCAAAAAAATTCCATTGCAAGAGAAGTGGGAGACAGATGAATTTAAACTATTTTTTTGTGTGTGTGTGTGATTACTGAACAGATATATTTATATTTTAAGCATTTCTAAATATATTTCAAATACACAGAAAGCTAAATTCTTTTTCATCTTAACTTGAATGCAAGTGGATAAATCACTTGTATTTCAGAAGACAATAGCTTGTAGTCCATGTTTCACTGGTTATGAGATTGCACACCTTTTCATGATACACTTTATCTCAAAGTTGTCTGTGGCTGTTCCTATTATGCTGTGTGCATGACCTTTTAGTAAGCTGAAGAAGATACAGTTATCTTCTTTTCTGACATGCAACATCTATCAATCAACATGTTTTCACGTAATTTATTCAAGGCAAATAGCAGCTCCTAAGGCTAGTGAACCGCAGCACTATCCCAGTGATTTTGATTAAGGAACGATGTGCACGGCTTAGGTGAGAAATGAAAAATGCATACCGCTGTTGATAAAGATGTAACTGAAACAGTAAACGGATCTGAAAGACCAAAAAGTATATATTTTAAAGTGACTCACAAGAACTAATACAACATAGTATCGTAAATACATGAGATGTGTTATTTGATGAACTTCTTATGTTACCAGTCCAGTATGCCTTTAGTTTTTAAAGAAAAGCCCGTGCAGTATTCTTGGACCAATCTACATTTTTCTCATTGAATCAAGAATGTAAATTAAGACAAAATGATTCTTTTTCAATTTCATGCTGAAGTAGCTCAAGTTAGAGAACGTAATTTCTCCTAACAAGAAAAATTTATCACTGTACAGCTCACTCAGTTGCCTCTTGTAGTGAGTCACCGTATGCATTTATGGAAGTGAAAGGATAAAAGGATTGATAAATGTGGCAAAAGAATGGTCCCTTTAGCTAATTCAAGGAGAGGCGAACACAATTAAATAACTCTTACCAAACAAGGAAATATGAAGATCATTACATTATCTGAATAGTAATTCTCATCTCTGACATAATGTGGTTTATTTTTCACTATGATGGATTTATTTAGCGTATACTGAAATAATTATTTCCTTTGAAAGAAGAAACAAAGTTGTCTTATGTTTGTGTGCTTTTATTTACCATATAAAATTGAAGTTTTTGTTTTTCCTCAAATCTAACTATACTGAAATTAATGTGTAAGTGTATAAAGAAGGTATGTAATAGTTATTATTTATGTATGAAAAGGTTGATGTTCATTAGAAGCTTCCTCATAGATTTCTGAGAGGCGAGCCCACATGCTAAAAAGAGAAAAGAACTATGTCACCTTATGATACCAAAAAAGCATTTTCCTATTTTGTCTTGCATATATCACTAAATTCTGTTTTCAATTCTGGCATGTTTTCATTAGTCCCTATAATTTCTAGTATGTTATTCACATAATACATCCAAATTTCATTTATACTTTGCAGCCACAACTCCAACTACTTCTGTTGTCATTTATATCATCAAAATGCCTAAGTCATAGACTAGAAATCTATTGTGCTGGCACAATGCTGAACACATTGGAAATCTCTGCCCCTCAGAGGTTACCAGGCAAGGACAAAACATGTGAATTACATGAATACGTGCAGAACAGACAAAAGAGAAATTACAATGAGACAATGAAATAACAGCCAGCATGACAGTCAGTGATCTCTATATACCATCCTAACCATCATCTATACCTAAGTATGTCTCTGAAGTGGAGGAATTAAGTCATTCTTGATGAAATCAATCCATCCATTGGAACCAGTAAAGTATCATTATTATGAAAAATTAGTGAAATGGAAAACTTCTACTGAGCTATTGAATAGAAGGGCACAAAAATGTTGATAGGTAATTAAGTGCAGAAAACAAGGTAACATTAGCTAGTTTCTTGTAAACTGTATAAAAAGCAGGAAGTACAACTACAAATAAAATAAAATGAATTCACTTTGTTAAATTTCTTTCTAAGAAACTAGAAACTTCATCCATGTCTCTAAACTTCAGCTAAATTGCTTTCCTAAATTTAAATCCGATTCTGCA